TAACAACTGCTGATGTGACGTCAGCTGTGGAAAGCACAACTGGTAGTGCCACAACTACAGCTGAAGCTGCAAGTACAGTTATTCAGACCACAGTTTCTGAAGTACCAACAACTCCTGGTGTGACCACTGGTGCTGAGACCACTGCTGCAGTGCCAACTACTGTTGAAATCACTTCAGCATCCCAAACAACTACTGCTGAGATAATCACTACTGCAGGAGTGACTTCCAGTTCTGTGGCCACCCCTGTTGCAGAGACCACAACTGCTGATGTGACGTCAGCTGTGGAAAGCACAACGGGTAGTGCCACAACCACAGCTGAAGCTACAAGTACAGTTATTCAGACCACAGTATCTGAAGTAACAACAACTCCTGGTGTGACCACTGGTGCTGAGACCACTGCTGCAGAGCCAACTACTGTTGAAATCACTTCAGCATCCCAAACAACTACTGCTGAGATAATCACTACTGCAGGAGTGACTTCAAGTTCTGTGTCCACCCCTGTTGCAGAGACCACAACTGCTGATTTGACGTCAGCTGTGGAAAGCACAACTGGTAGTGCCACAACCACAGCTGAAGCTACAAGTACAGTTATTCAGACCACAGTATCTGAAGTAACAACAACTCCTGGTGTGACCACTGCTGCTGAGACCACTGCTGCAGAGCCAACTACTGTTGAAATCACTTCAGCAGCCCAAACAACTACTGCTGAGATAATCACTACTGCAGGAGTGACTTCAAGTTCTGAGGCCACCCCTGTTGCAGACTTAACAACTGCTGATGTGACATCAGCTGTCGAAAGCACAACTGGTAGTGCCACAACCACAGCTGAAGCTACAAGTACAGTTATTCAGACCACAAAATCTGAAATAACTACAACTTCTGGTGTGACCACTGATGCTCAGACCACTGCTGCAGAGCCAACTACTGTTGAATTCACTTCAGCAGCCCAAACAACTACTGCTGAGATAATCACTACTGCAGGAGTGACCACAGAGTCTGTGTCTACCCCTGTTGCAGACATAACAACTGCTGATGTGACGTCAGCTGTGGAAAGCACAACTGGTAGTGCCACAACTACAGCTGAAGCTGCAAGTACAGTTATTCAGACCACAGTATCTGAAGTAACAACAACTCCTGGTGTGACCACTGGTGCTGAGACCACTGCTGCAGTGCCAACTACTGTTGAAATCACTTCAGCAGCCCAAACAACTACTGCTGAGATAATCACTACTGCAGGACTGACTTCAAGTTCTGTGGCCAACCCTGTTTCAGACATAACAACTGCTGATGTGATATCAGCTGTGGAAAGCACAACGGGTAGTGCCACAACCATAGCTGAAGCTACAAGTACAGTTATTCAGACCACAGTTGCTGAAGTAACTACAACTTCTGGTGTGACCACTGGTGCTGAGACCACTGCTGCAGAGCCAACTACTGTTGAAATCACTTCAGCATCCCAAACAACTACTGCTGAGATAATCACTACTGCAGGAGTGACTTCAAGTTCTGTGGCCACCCCTGTTGTAGAGACCACAACTGCTGATTTGACGTCAGCTGTGGAAAGCACAACGGGTAGTGCCACAACCACAGCTGAAGCTACAAGTACGGTTATTCAGACCACAGTATCTGAAGTAACAACAACTCCTGGTGTGACCACTGGTGCTGAGACCACTGCTGCAGAGCCAACTACTGTTGAAATCACTTCAGCAGCCCAAACAACTACTGCTGAGATAATCACTACTGCAGGAGTGACTTCAAGTTCTGAGGCCACCCCTGTTGCAGACTTAACAACTGCTGATGTGACATTAGCTGTCGAAAGCACAACTGGTAGTGCCACAACCACAGCTGAAGCTACAAGTACAGTTATTCAGACCACAAAATCTGAAATAACTACAACTTCTGGTGTGACCACTGATGCTCAGACCACTGCTGCAGAGCCAACTACTGTTGAAATCACTTCAGCAGCCCAAACAACTACTGCTGAGATAATCACTACTGCAGGAGTGACCACAGAGTCTGTGTCCACCCCTGTTGCAGACATAACAACTGCTGATGTGACGTCAGCTGTGGAAAGCACAACTGGTAGTGCCACAACTACAGCTGAAGCTGCAAGTACAGTTATTCAGACCACAGTATCTGAAGTACCAACAACTCCTGGTGTGACCACTGGTGCTGAGACCACTGCTGCAGTGCCAACTACTGTTGAAATCACTTCAGCATCCCAAACAACTACTGCTGAGATAATCACTACTGCAGGAGTGACTTCCAGTTCTGTGGCCACCCCTGTTGCAGAGACCACAACTGCTGATGTGACGTCAGCTGTGGAAAGCACAACGGGTAGTGCCACAACCACAGCTGAAGCTACAAGTACAGTTATTCAGACCACAGTATCTGAAGTAACAACAACTCCTGGTGTGACCACTGGTGCTGAGACCACTGCTGCAGAGCCAACTACTGTTGAAATCACTTCAGCATCCCAAACAACTACTGCTGAGATAATCACTACTGCAGGAGTGACTTCAAGTTCTGTGTCCACCCCTGTTGCAGAGACCACAACTGCTGATTTGACGTCAGCTGTGGAAAGCACAACTGGTAGTGCCACAACCACAGCTGAAGCTACAAGTACAGTTATTCAGACCACAGTATCTGAAGTAACAACAACTCCTGGTGTGACCACTGCTGCTGAGACCACTGCTGCAGAGCCAACTACTGTTGAAATCACTTCAGCAGCCCAAACAACTACTGCTGAGATAATCACTACTGCAGGAGTGACTTCAAGTTCTGAGGCCACCCCTGTTGCAGACTTAACAACTGCTGATGTGACATTAGCTGTCGAAAGCACAACTGGTAGTGCCACAACCACAGCTGAAGCTACAAGTACAGTTATTCAGACCACAAAATCTGAAATAACTACAACTTCTGGTGTGACCACTGATGCTCAGACCACTGCTGCAGAGCCAACTACTGTTGAATTCACTTCAGCAGCCCAAACAACTACTGCTGAGATAATCACTACTGCAGGCGTGACCACAGAGTCTGTATCCACCCCTGTTGCAGACATAACAACTGCTGATGTGACGTCAGCTGTGGAAAGCACAACTGGTAGTGCCACAACTACAGCTGAAGCTGCAAGTACAGTTATTCAGACCACAGTATCTGAAGTAACAACAACTCCTGGTGTGACCACTGGTGCTGAGACCACTGCTGCAGTGCCAACTACTGTTGAAATCACTTCAGCAGCCCAAACAACTACTGCTGAGATAATCACTACTGCAGGACTGACTTCAGGTTCTGTGGCCAACCCTGTTTCAGACATAACAACTGCTGATGTGATATCAGCTGTGGAAAGCACAACGGGTAGTGCCACAACCATAGCTGAAGCTACAAGTACAGTTATTCAGACCACAGTTGCTGAAGTAACTACAACTTCTGGTGTGACCACTGGTGCTGAGACCACTGCTGCAGAGCCAACTACTGTTGAAATCACTTCAGCATCCCAAACAACTACTGCTGAGATAATCACTACTGCAGGAGTGACTTCAAGTTCTGTGGCCACCCCTGTTGCAGAGACCACAACTGCTGATTTGACGTCAGCTGTGGAAAGCACAACGGGTAGTGCCACAACCACAGCTGAAGCTACAAGTACAGTTATTCAGACCACAGTATCTGAAGTAACAACAACTCCTGGTGTGACCACTGGTGCTGAGACCACTGCTGCAGAGCCAACTACTGTTGAAATCACTTCAGCAGCCCAAACAACTACTGCTGAGATAATCACTACTGCAGGAGTGACTTCAAGTTCTGAGGCCACCCCTGTTGCAGACTTAACAACTGCTGATGTGACATTAGCTGTCGAAAGCACAACTGGTAGTGCCACAACCACAGCTGAAGCTACAAGTACAGGTATTCAGACCACAAAATCTGAAATAACTACAACTTCTGGTGTGACCACTGATGCTCAGACCACTGCTGCAGAGCCAACTACTGTTGAAATCACTTCAGCAGCCCAAACAACTACTGCTGAGATAATCACTACTGCAGGAGTGGCCAGTTCTGTGGCCACCCCTGTTGCAGAGACCACAACTGCTGATGTGACGTCAGCTGTGGAAAGCACAACTGGTAGTGCCACAACTACAGCTGAAGCTGCAAGTACAGTTATTCAGACCACAGTATCTGAAGTAACAACAACTCCTGGTGTGACCACTGGTGCTGAGACCACTGCTGCAGAGCCAACTACTGTTGAAATCACTTCAGCATCCCAAACAACTACTGCTGAGATAATCACTACTGCAGGAGTGACTTCAAGTTCTGTGGCCACCCCTGTTGCAGAGACCACAACTGCTGATGTGACATCAGCTGTGGAAAGCACAACTGGTAGTGCCACAACTACAGCTGAAGCTACAAGTACAGTTATTCAGACCACAGTATCTGAAGTAACAACAACTCCTGGTGTGACCACTGGTGCTGAGACCACTGCTGCAGAGCCAACTACTGTTGAAATCACTTCAGCAGCCCAAACAACTACTGCTGAGATAATCACTACTGCAGGAGCGACTACAGAGTCTGTGTCCACGCCTGTTTCAGACACAACAACTGCTGATGTGACATCAGCTGTGGAAAGCACAACTGGTAGAGCCACAACCACAGCTGAAGCTACAAGTACAGTTATTCAGACCACAAAATCTGAAATAACTACAACTTCTGGTGTGACCACTGATGCTGAGACCACTGCTGCAGAGCCAACTACTGTTGAATTCACTTCAGCAGCCCAAACAACTACTGCTGAGATAATCACTACTGCAGGAGTGACTTCAAGTTCTGTGGCCACCCCTGTTGCAGAGACCACAACTGCAGATTTGACGTCAGCTGTGGAAAGCACAACTGGTAGTGCCACAACCACAGCTGAAGCTACAAGTACAGTTATTCAGACCACAGTATCTGAAGTAACAACAACTCCTGTTGTGACCACTGGTGCTGAGACCACTGCTGCAGAGCCAACTACTGTTGAAATCACTTCAGCAGCCCAAACAACTACTGCTGAGATAATCACTACTGCAGGAGTGACTACAGAGTCTGTGTCCACCCCTGCTGCAGACACAACAACTGCTGATGTGACTTCTGCTGTTGAAAGCACTACTGGTAGTGCCACAAGCAAAGCTGAAGCTACAAGTACAGTTACTCAGACCACAAAATCTGAAGTAACTACAACTTCTGGTGTGACCACTGGTGCTGAGACCACTGCTGCAGAGCCAACTACTGTTGAAATCACTTCAGCAGCTCAAACAACTACTGCTGAGATAATCGCTACTGCAGGAGTGACTACAGAGTCTGTGTCCACCCCTGTTGCAGACCCAACAACTGCTGATGTGACATCAGCTGTGGAAAGCACAACGGGTAGTGCCACAACCATAGCTGAAGCTACAAGTACAGTTATTCAGACCACAGTTGCTGAAGTAACTACAACTTCTGGTGTGACCACTGGTGCTGAGACCACTGCTGCAGAGCCAACTACTGTTGAAATCACTTCAGCATCCCAAACAACTACTGCTGAGATAATCACTACTGCAGGAGTGACTTCAAGTTCTGTGGCCACCCCTGTTGCAGAGACCACAACTGCTGATTTGACGTCAGCTGTGGAAAGCACAACTGGTAGTGCCACAACCACAGCTGAAGCTACAAGTACAGTTATTCAGACCACAGTATCTGAAGTAACAACAACTCCTGGTGTGACCACTGGTGCTGAGACCACTGCTGCAGAGCCAACTACTGTTGAAATCACTTCAGGAGTGACTACAGAGTCTGTGGCCACCCCTGTTGCAGACACAACTGCTGATGTAACTTCGGCTGTTGAAAGCACAACTGGTAGTGCCACAACCACAGCTGAAGCTACAAGTACAGTTATTCAGACCACAAAATCTGAAATAACTACAACTTCTGGTGTGACCACTGATGCTGAGACCACTGCTGCAGAGCCAACTACTGTTGAATTCACTTCAGCAGCCCAAACAACTACTGCTGAGATAATCACTACTGCAGGAGTGACTTCAAGTTCTGTGGCCACCCCTGTTGCAGAGACCACAACTGCAGATTTGACGTCAGCTGTGGAAAGCACAACTGGTAGTGCCACAAGCAAAGCTGAAGCTACAAGTACAGTTACTCAGACCACAATATCTGAAGTAACTACAACTTCTGGTGTGACCACTGGTGCTGATACCCCAGCTGCAGAGCCAACTACTGTTGAAATCACTTCAGCAGCCCAAACAACTACTGCTGAGATAGTCACTACTGCAGGAGTGACAACAAGTTCGGTGGCCACGCCTGTTGCAGATACAACAACTGCTGATGTGACATCAGCTGTGGAAAGCACAATTGGTAGTGCCACAAGCAAAGCTGAAGCTACAAGAACAGTTGTTCAGACCACAGTATTTGAATTAACTTCAACTCCTGGTGTGACCACTGGTGCTGAGACCACTGCTGCAGAGCCAACTACTGTTGAAATCACTTCAGCAGCTCAAACAACTACTGCTGAGATAATCGCTACTGCAGGAGTGACTACAGAGTCTGTGTCCACCCCTGTTGCAGACCCAACAACTGCTGATGTGACATCAGCTGTGGAAAGCACCAGGGGTAGTGCCACAACCATAGCTGAAGCTACAAGTACAGTTATTCAGACCACAGTTGCTGAAGTAACTACAACTTCTGGTGTGACCACTGGTGCTGAGACCACTGCTGCAGAGCCAACTACTGTTGAAATCACTTCAGCATCCCAAACAACTACTGCTGAGATTATAACTACTGCAGGAGTGACTTCAAGTTCTGTGGCCACCCCTGTTGCAGAGACCACAACTGCTGATTTGACGTCAGCTGTGGAAAGCACAACTGGTAGTGCCACAACCACAGCTGAAGCTACAAGTACAGTTATTCAGACCACAGTATCTGAAGTAACAACAACTCCTGGTGTGACCACTGGTGCTGAGACCACTGCTGCAGAGCCAACTACTGTTGAAATCACTTCAGGAGTGACTACAGAGTCTGTGGCCACCCCTGTTGCAGACACAACTGCTGATGTAACTTCGGCTGTTGAAAGCACAACTGGTAGTGCCACAAGCACTACTGTTGAAATCACTTCAGGAGTGACTACAGAGTCTGTGGCCACCCCTGTTGCAGACACAACTGCTGATGTAACTTCGGCTGTTGAAAGCACAACTGGTAGTGCCACAAGCAAAGCTGAAGCTACAAGTACAGTTGTTCAGACCACAGTATCTGAAGTAACTACAACTGCTGGTGTTACCACAGGTGCTATAAGCACATTTAGCGAGACACGTACTGTAGATTCACAGACAGCTACATCAGCTGGTACATCAACAGTAGCCGTGACAAGTTCTGAGGATAAAGTTACAACAGTTGGTGCCTCAACTGTGATTGGGAGTACCATAACAGTACAGTCTACTGTTGAGGAAGGTACTATCACACCTCCTATAACAACTTCAGCAGGTGTAACTACTATTTCATCTTCGACAACAACTCCAGAAGTAGCAGTAACAGTAACAGCAGGAACTGGTACTGAGACAACTGGTTCAAATGAAACTACATCTGCTGTAACCACCGCTGCAGCCCAAAACATAACTACAGTAGAAACAACAACTATTGTGCCTGAAACAATCACTGAAGCTGCCATCACAACAGTTGACTTTAGTTCACCTTTGCAAAAAACTAGTAAGGCCACTACTGGAACTCAGGTTTCAAGAACAAATGCACCTGAAATTACCACTGGTATAGAGGCAACTACTTCAGGTTACACCACCTCTAGTACTCAGATTTCAACCATTGTAGTAGCCACTAAAGGATTGACTGAGACCACAGCTGCTTCTTTATTAACAACTACAGGTACGGATTGTTTTGCTAATATTAATATGTATTGAAGCAAGTGCAGTTGAATATGCCATACTTACATACGTGTTGTTGTGTTTTTTATATACATCCTTACTTTTTGTTTAACTTGTTGATTGTTTTAAGAACACTGTTTTGTTTTTCAGAAACAACAAAACCAGCATTTCTTAGGTCACAAAACGTTTGTTTTATACCATTCATAAAATCCAAATCTTAACGCTACAAATGAGGCAAAACTCCATTTGTGCTCCTTATCCTGACACCATTAATGAAGCACAAGAAAAGTAACAGGTGTAACAGTGACACACACACACACACTGTGGCTTTTTAATTTGTACTTGCTCATTTGTATGTAAAGATTTTACACAATCTATTCATTTATTCATCTTGAATCATTTCATCATATGCATGCTCTGTGTTTCTGTGTTATATTTGTTTATCTTTGTGTTTTTCATTTATATTCATTTTCAAATTCATGTACTGATTGATGCTTTGCATGTCTGTAAGAAGTTGATTTTTTTTCTACTTTCGTGGGTATCTGCAGAAATAAACATTTGAACTTTTATATATACTTTCTTCATTTTACCCAGGTTACTTTAGCATAGTGAGGATTAGTTTACAGGTTTACTTTACAGAATTGTTTAATTCTGCAGATACAATGAAGCAAATCAGGTATCAAGTATACTTAAAACCAAAACCTATGTACAGTAGGTGAATTTGAAAATGAAACATTAGAATTCTCATTATTGTCTATACTGCTCATTTCCATGAACTTACATGTTGACATTCACTTCCTTTGTATTGTGCACCTAACTGAACCCATTATTTGTACCTTTACTGCCCAAACCAACTTGCCTATTACTCCATATTCCATCAAAAACCACTTCCTCATGGTTTATCAATTCATCCAGGAATTAATATTATGTAATAAAATGTATTACTAAGGGAATAAATATGTGCTTGGCCGATTTTAAAAGGATACATTTAAAACAGGCTTGGGGCCTGGACAAAGAAGGAGAGGGACATTACTATTGACCAGGCCCCAAGCCTGTTTAATTAACATTGAACAAAATGTCAAAGGCTTAATATCAGCATCTGGCTTAATATTGCCATCATGATGGTTGAAGCTGTTGAAACACCCATTTCAAGTTGTTGATATTTCTGACTGCTTGGGACATGGTAGTTTAATTGTGAGGCCTTTTTCATTTTCTAACATTTATAATTGTGTGTATCTGCGTTTCTTTCATCTTTGGTTGGGAATGTGTTTTAATCAAGTTGTTGGCTGATTAATCTGTAACATTCTATTCTGAACCCCTTGTGTGATACAGACCCACTTCACTAACTCATACATCCAAGATGTTACATTACTCCCTGATTTCCAGTTTTCCTTGGTCATATCCATGGTGACTCACATCCGTGTTGTACTAAAGGGGGCAAAAGGCCTTCACTGTGTCAGAGTTGACCTATCGCGGTAGAATCATGTCAACGCAGCTTGTGAAATATTGTTCAATTTCATGATATATGAATGGACGTGGAACACGCAAAATCTTAGACAAACAAATCTTAGTGTACAAAAACTCCATAAGGTTGTCTAAGGGGGCATGGCTAACTCGCAAACGGCTATAGGTCAATTACACAGAGAAATTCAAATGTGTGTGCTTCATATTATGCTTTCATCTCAAAACAGACAACAAAATAGAAGGAACCCCTCTTGTTTTTGCTGGTCACAGAGGGGCCAGTCAATATATGTAGTCTTTGTACCTGACTGACTCACTGACTTATGGAATGTCTAATTGAATGTCTCACTGACTGACTCATACTTAATAATTGCACTTGTTAAAGTCTCCAACTGACTTACTGTTGTTGTGAATGCAATTGTTCACCTATCTCACTGACTGACTCTCACTTGTGAATTAGACTGTTTACCTATTTCACTAACTGACGTGTGTTACTTGATAGTTAGACTTGTTACCTATCTCACTGACTGACTGACTGTCAGTTCTGAATTAGACTGGTTACCTCTTTCCAACACATAGACCTCTACTGTTTATTGTACGAACATATTAGCAATTCTATATCAGTTGAATAGGTTTTGTGCCCTCTGTGACCAGCTTTACAAGGCCTGTCTTGTCTAGTTTGAATCATATTCAAAAAAGCTATTGAAACTAAAAAAAACAGACATGGCAAAGTATACCATGGTAAGAAAGCAAATCACATGTTGATATTTGTGTATTTCCCTTCCTAACTAAACTCTGCTTTTGTGTGTTCTTGCTGTTCCACATGATTTTCTTTTGTTTGACGTTAAGTCAAATATGGCATATGTTTACAAGAGCAGAAAGTTCTTTCATTAAACATCTTCTAAATACTAGTTTTGCGATTATTGAGTTGAATTTACTTGCAACTGAAGCTACATATACTTCATACCCAATGTGCAATGCTTCCCAGTTTGAGAGATGCATTGTACAATGCTTAGAGATCAAAGTAGATTGCAACTGAATTTGATGCAGAAAGTTTTTGTGGTTTTATTGAATATTTATTCTAGAGATTAAAATTTCTGTAGCCATTAATACATTGGATCACAATCAACTCTGAGTGTGCATTGTTGGCTGCTGTCCTGAAGCCAGAGAAAGTCATTCTTCCTGCAGCGAACATTTCAAATATCACTTTTATTTTTGTGCCATTTAAATATTTATATAGTAATGGATGGCTTTGAGGGGGATTCAAGAATATATTGCAACAGCTGTAACAATATTGCCTGAGTGGAAGACAAGTACAAAATTGTCATAGCGAGTGCAATATATTCGTGTGTCCTCCGAAAATATAAAGCCATCCAATATTATTATTATTTATATCGGGCTGACCTGTTTTCGCAAAAAATACATTTCAGGATACTGTCTTCATTTCTCCTGTTTCGTCAAATTGTTTTTCACTTACCGAAACAACTTTCACGCCGCATGAAGCTGCCATTGCGGTTGTTGACTGGCTGTCAACTGAGTTTCTCTGCTCTTGATCTTTCGGGAACCAGCGAAAATGCCCGGATTAGGGCAATATCAAAAGTAACATTGTCTTCATACGGGTACTTTTACTGACATAATATTGCTATCATCCAGGTCCTTTTTTTCTGATAGCAAACAATGCGCTGATTTATTTTTACCGCTGGAAAGCCTGATATAAATAGTAATGTTTAATA